AAATTATTTAAATATTATGATATTTTATTATTTATTTTAAAAATTAAATTTATTTATAACTTTATATTAAAAATAATTTGTTTTTTAATAAATTTATTAAAATAAATAAAAATTAATATATTGTTTATTTATTCAATTTATGTAAAAAATAATTTAAAATATATAATTAAAAAAAATCATTTAAAACAAAAAAAAATATACTGTAATTATTAAATATGAATTATTCCGAATAAGAATAAAAGGTAAAAAAAATGAAAAATTAAAATAAAAATAAAAATAAAAATAAATAAAAAAAGGAATTATTAATGTATCTAAATAATAAATAAAATGAAAGGCTTGAAACTGAATTATTATAAATAAAAAAGCTGACATAAAAAATTCCTTTTTTTTAACAATTAAATAACGATTTATAAGTAGATGCACATTTAGAATTATGCAAAAAATTAAGTTTTAAAATATACAAAGAAGACGAAATGATAAAAAGCATAGGTAAATAATAAAAACAATAAACTAAAAAATTAAAAAATAAAATAATAAAAAATTTTAATAAAATATAATAAAAAAAATTTAAAAATTGTATATAAAAAAAAATAATAATAAAAAAAAAATCTAAATTTTAAAAAATAAATATATAAATATTTTATAATAGGTTAAAATTTCGACTTATTTCATATTATAATTAGTGGTAATGTAGGGTTATACGTAAAATAAAAAAATCAATATCAATAATAAAAAAATGAAAATTTACATTTAGTTAGAGTTTTAAAATGTGGAAATTATTTTGGTGAAGTTTCATTAATTTATAAATAATTAAGTTTAGTTTATTTTTTGGCTCTAAATGAAGTATTTTGTCTTATAATCAATTAAAAGTAATTTAGTATGATTATTGAAAAGCAAATGCTTGTTAAAATGAGTTTTGAAATTAATTATTTATAAAGCATACCTGTATTTTGGAATTGGGATTAAGATGAATTAAGGATATTATATTAGGTTTATTTTATTAAAAAATACAAATAAGGAGATCATGTTTTTTTAGAAGGAGATAAATCATAATATATGTATATTATAAGAGAAGGAATATTTAAAGTTTTTTTTTTTTTAAAAAAAAAAAATTAATTATTTTAAAGAAATTGAAAAAATATATATAACTAAGAAACAGAAAATTTTTAGATAAAAAATTCCTAAATATAAAGGATAAATAAACTGATTTACCAAAACAAAATAAATATGAGGATGAGAAGAATTTACAAGTTCTTTTTTTTTAAAAAAAATAAATAAATAAATAAATAATAAATAGATTTAAACTTTAGAAAAAAATTCTATTTTTGGAGAAGAAGATATATTAAGTAATAGCAATAGAAAATTTTCAGTTTTATGTGAATCCTAATATGGAGAAGTACTTACTTTTACAAATAATGCAATAAATGTTTTAATATTAAGTAAAAATATGACTAAATAATATATAAAAGCCTTAAATTAAAACAAATATACCTAATTTACTAAAACTTTAGACAATCTTTCGTAATTTGTATCAGCTGCTAAAGTAGATTTAATAGAAAAAAATTAAGATTAAATTAAAGAAACACAAAATTATGTACATTTAAGATAATAATTAAATTATTTCGATACTTCGTCAAAATTATAAAGTATTAATTCAAAAAATTTAAATTCTTATGTAAATAATGGAGGAAAAAAAAGCTCGCCTAATTCCAGTAATTATGTTTAATTACCAACTTTAAAAAGAATAAATAATTCTTAAAGTTAATAAATGAGCATTTAAAATATAGAAATTCCGGATAGTATTGCAGAAAAGAATAAAATTTTGACTAAAACTCATATTAATTTTAAATCTTTAAGTAATTTAAATATGGATTAGCCTGTATTTGATTTTGATTATTATACTAATAATAGCAAATTAGCTAATAGTATATCTTCAAAGAAAAAGTTCAATGAAGTAAAAATAATCAAAAACGAAAAATTTTTATAGACTTATTGGGGAAAACATAAATTTAATTTAGCTGATTAAAATCATATTTTAAAAATTATGAATTAAAGTTAAGATATGAAAGTTGACTATTCTTAGAATGATTTGTATCTAAAGGGATAATTTAATAATATAGAAGGATAAAGAGGATATAGACATTTAGGATTGGAACCAGAAAAAAATCATATGGAAGAATATAATAGTATAAAGTTTAAAATTTTATAAGATATTAAAAAATAATATTAAAATAGACATAATTTTTTAAAATGATTATTAATATATATTTTTTAGTTTTTTTCATATAATTTTCTATTATTTATTTTCTTTATTTGATTTTTAATTTTTTTTTTAAAAAAATAATGATAAAGTATTTATTCATTAACAAAAATTAATATTTTTTTTTTCACTTTTTAATTTTTTTATAATTTTTTTTATTTTTTAATAAACATGAATTGGGATTCATTTAAAAAATAATATTATGCTCATGAAAATAATCTAAAATATCAAATGGATTTATTAAATAAAACATCGTTTAAAATCTCTTAATAAATAAATAGTTTAGAGTAAAACTTAAATAAATAGTATTTTTTCTAATTATTTTTAAAATAGTAAAATAGATTATGATAACAACTAGTTTGATAATTAATAACAAAAATAATAAAGTATTTTAAAATAGTTAATGAATGAATTTTAATAATAAGATATAAAATTAAAAGAAATCTTATAATAAGTGAATATAAACATAAATTTTAATCTTTTATAAAAATAAAAAAATAGATTGATGAATTATTAAATAACACTAATATAAGATAAGATGAAAAATAAGCATTTTTATAATAAAATATGTATAAAAGATTTAAAGAAATATAAAACGATCATGTAAAAGAACATAAAAGGTTATAAGTAAGTAATAAATATAAACAAAATATTAAATTAATAAGTTTTTATATTTATTTTTTATTAAAATATTTTATTAGTAATCATTTGAATTCAATAAAAAAAAATAAAAAATATTTTCTGAAGCATGCAATATTAAATACTAAAGTATGAAAGATGGTTAAAAAAATATAATTGAAAATGGAGATAAATTAATAAAGAACTCTTAAGCAATTAATTAATCAATTTACTAGACAAATGAAATTATTCAGTAATTTTAATTTAAATGTATAGTTTTCATTTAAAAAATATAAAAAAGAACTGCTCATCATATTAAAAGTTCTCTTTTTAATTAAAACTCTAATTTAAAAAATATAAATTCAAAAGTGGTTAATATATCAGGTATTAAAATTAAAAAAAATCTAAACAATTTTTTAAAATATGATTTTTTTAATAGGTACTATTCCATAACTTGAATAACTAATAGACAAAATTTAATTTGCTTAATTTAAAAGATAAATAATTATTGCTTTTGTAATAGCTCTGTGTTTCGTGATTTGTGTTTATAAAATATTTTTTTTATGAAATTTTTTTTTGTTATTAAAAAAAAATAAAAAAAAAATTATATTTTAAAATAAATTATGTCTTAAATATATTAAAATTAAGTAAAAAAAATTATTAGAATTATTCATAAAATTATATGTTATTTTATTAAATTTTTAATGTATTAATATTTTTAATAAAAAATATGCACAATTTATTAATTATTTTAAATATCTAACTAATATAAATAATTTTTAATTAAAAAATTAAAGATATTATTAAAGATATTTTATTTATAAATTTACTAAAATATTTAGATATTTTCTATATTTTTTTTTTTATATAATTGTATTGTTATAAATTATATTATTTTATCTATTTATATACTTATTATATATATTTATAATAACTATAAATCATTAATACTAAAATAAATAATTTTAATTAAAATTTTGAATAAATGATATATTATTATAATATTTTTTTTTTCAATATAAATATATTTAAATATAATTATTATATTTTATTAAAATACTATTATTAATAAACAAAAAATAATCAAAAAAAAATTAAAAAGAAAAAAAGAAAAAAAGAAAAAAAGAAAAAAAGAAAAAAAGAAAAATAAATAATAAAATATAGTATTTATTAAGAAAAATATATAATTTATATTTAATAATCTATAAATAATTTATCAAATAAAAATCTTATAAAATAAAATAAAAATAAATAAAATAATTAATTTAATTAATACAATATAAAAAATAAATATAATTAAACAAATATGATTCCACCAGATAATACATAAGTTATAAGTACACCTTTCGAATTATAAAAGTTTGGTATTCTCCTAGCTGTTGTGGAATTTTTTTGTTTATTTTTTTATGGTTTTACAGCTAATTATGATTCTTCAACAAACGACAATTTTCGCTACCATCTATGGGCTGATGTTAATATTATGGCCTTTATAGGATTTGGTTTATTAATGACATTCCATAAATAATATTTTTACAGTGCAGTTGGTTACACATTAATGATAGGTGCAGTATCATTTCAATACTATCCTATATGGCAATTAATATGGAATTATGCATGGCATTTTAATACTATATAATTTCAAATGAAATTAAATGTAGCAACATTAATATCAGCGTCTTTTTGCACGGATTCAATATTAATAAGTTTCGGGGCTATAATAGGAAAAGTAACTCCTTTTTAATTGTTATTACTAACAGTAACGTAGACTATAGGTTTTTCTTTAAATGAAAGAATCGGTTTAGAAATGGGAATCACAGATATAGGAGGCTCAATGTATATTCATTTATTTGGAGCAATATGTGGGCTTGTAATTTCGAAAATAATAACTAGGCCAGATGCTTTTAACCATCCGCATGCTAAATCAAATTATATTTCTGATTTAACTTCAGTTGTGGGGACTCTTTTTTTATGGATGTACTGGCCTTCGTTTAACGCGGCTAGTACACCTAATAATAGCGTGTCTTAAAATAGGTCTTATATAAATACTGTACTGTCGTTAACTGGAAGTGTGTTTGCAACATTCCTTGTATCTTTTTTGATGAGAAAAGAAAAGAAAATTAATATGATTGATATATAAAATGCCACACTTGCAGGAGGGGTGGCAATGGGAACTTGTGCAAATATTCATATTTTACCGGTTTATTCGATTGCTATTGGGGTAATTTCTGGGTGTGTTTCGATTTATTGCTATGCAAAATTATAGGGAATTCTTGAAAGGAAAATTAGGCTACATGATAGTTGTGGAGTTCTTAATTTGCATGGATTGCCTGGATTCCTTGGAGCTGTTTTTGGAGTTATTGCTTGTTTAGGAATACATTAGGGTTTTGATAAAAATAATTAAAAGGAAATGTCTTTACTTTTAGAAGTTTTTTTGAAAGCAAACGAATCATGGTGGAATTTAAGGCAATAAGCGCTTATTTAATGTGAATACATATTTATTTCTTTAGGAATTAGTATTATTACTGGTATTTTTAGTGGGATTATTATCAATTATTTGGGAAAATCACCTAAATTATTGTTTGATGATAATGAAAATTTCAGAATTCCTTCAGTACATTATGAAGAAGCTGATAAGTTTTATACTAAAATTTAAATGCTTATGAAATAATAAAATTTTGGAGATAATCAAATTGGAAATGATGAAAATTTCAAAAAACAATTGCTCTAAAATTTACTTAATAGTGAAGATAAATAAACTTAAAATAGTATTAATAATAAAAAAAATTAAGTACAGAATGATGATAATTGATTAAAAGTGTAAAAAATATTTATTATTCATATAATTTTTATATTATATTATATTATATCATATTATATTATATTTTTGTGAATATCTTATTAATTTTTATTTTTTTTCATAAAATATTAATATTACATAATTTCTTATATCTTTATTTATTTTATTTCTAAATTTTAAGCATTTTATTTTCTTTCTTTTCTTATCTTCGTTTTTTATAGTCCAAAAATTAAAAATAAAAAGAAATTTTGCCAAAATATTAAAAAGTAATGAATTTGTATTTTATATAGTGTATGTTTAATTTAAAAAGAAAAAATTCATTATATAGATAATTTTCTATAAAAATAAAAATAATTAGAAACAAGAAGTATTTCATTTTAATAAGGATATATGACTAAAGTATTTATATATAATAAATCATTTTTTTATAGGTTTTTAATTTTTTTAGAGAGAAATAATTTTACAGAAAGTATCATTACTTTTATATTTGGTTATTGATTTAAATTGTATATAAAAAGTTTTTTCTTAATAAAAAATAAGTGGCTTTCCTTCTATTTTAAAATATTAATCGTTGGTAAAAATGTTATTTTAATAAATTAATCTATTTATGAATAAATTTTATTCATAAATAATAAGAAGGAAGTAAATATGCATTTTAAATTGAAAAAATTTTATATTTTTAGTCTTTTATTATTTACATTATGACTATTTTTGTTAAGTTCTAGAAATATTATTTAATGAAATTAAAATTGTAAAATATTAATTTTATATGTATGTTAATATTATATTATCTATAAAGTATTTATAGTTTAATTTTTTTTTATATTTATATTAGATCTTAGTTAAATATAATTTTTTTATTATTTTAAAGTTAAAAATTTAAAAGATATAATATATTTATATAATATAATAGTAAATGTGTATTATCTTATTCATTTAAATAAAATTCTAATTTTTAAACATTTAAATCCTCAATGCTTACATATTTTTCTTATTTTAAAAGTTATTTATATTAATTTGATTTAATATTTTTAATAATTATTAATCTTATTTTTTAATAATTAAAATAATAAATATATAATATATCATTTAAATTCTTTTTTTTATATATATACGATAAATATTATATAATTTTTATCAGAAAAAACTATTATTTTTTTATTTTATTCAATTTTTTATTTTCTTATAATATTATAAATTTAATAGATCATGAAATTTTAGTATTTTTTATAGACTGTATAAAATATATATAAGTGTTTCTTAGGTTATATATAATCCCTTATAAAATAGCTTAGATAAAAAAATTTTTGATCCATATTTTTATGAGAAATTATTTAATTAAATTGATTATAACATTTTCAACATAATCATTTTATATTAATATTTTTGAATGGTACTTTAGAATTCTATAACTAGGCATTTATCATTATCATTTATAGACATGATATTTAAAGTATTATAAATTAAATTATAAAAAAGAAAATAATTAATTACCCCATAGGCAAGAAGTTGTTATTATAATATAATTAAATTTAATATTAATAGTAATTATTATAATAAATAAAACTATGCTTTTCGTATTAGAAATTACATAATTATATCGATTAAAATACTTTCTAATTTATACTTTTCATCTTCTATATAATAATATTTTTCAAATTTATTTAATAATTTTTTTTTTATATTTAATAATTATTCATATTTTTTAATATAATTATATAATTATATTAACTGTTATTGAATTACACACAAATATAATGAGGTTTGCAATTTAAAGTATTTATCGCATTATTTTTGTTTTTTTTTTATCCAAATATAGTTTATATAGGATATTATAAAATATATAATAAATTCATTTATTAATTAAAATAATTTGAATTTGAGGCTGTATATAAAATAAATTTTTAAAAAATTATACAAAAATAATTATAAAAATTTGATACAAAATAGTAGTATTTAAAATATTTATTATACAAAGATATTATATTAAGAAAAAAATAAATTCAACTTGTAAAATATTAGAGTTTTTAAACAAATATTTATCAAAAAGAATAAATTTCTTTAAAAATAGAAAATAAATAAATTAATATTTTATTAAAGAAATATTTATTAATAAATACATGCTTTTTTGATAATATTTTAATTATACTTATTAATTATTATATTTACTTAACCGATTTTTAATTAAAGAATATTTAATATTAAATATATAATATATATATAGCTTATCAAAATAAAAAAAAAATATATTAAATATAGATTTAAATATAAATTTTCATATATTTACAAAATTAAAATATAATTAATTTAATATTAATATATTATAAAAATTTTGGTATATTAATATTTTTAGTAATACTAATATAAAAATATAAAAAGGATAATAATAACAATCATTAAAAATAAATATAAGTATATAATATTTAAAATATGATAAAAATATTGTTAATATATAGAATTTTTTAAAAATATTATTTAATTTAGTGAATTAATATGAAAATAATATCTTATAAAAAATTAATATGTATTAATTATTAATAATACGTATCTGAAACTTTTATATATCTTTTTTAATATGTTATTTCATTCAAAATAAGATTAAAATTAAATATAAATAAATATTATAATAAATTAATATTTAGAAAATTTATTTAATAAACAAAAAAATTATATACGAAATAAAAATGTATAAAATATATAAAAAAATACAAAATAAAAAAATTAAAAAAAAAAACACAAAAATATGTTATAATAATATATAATAATTATAAAAATATCTATGAAAAAATATTAAAAATAAATATATAATTAATATTATATATGATATATAAAATATAGAAAATTTATATAAAATTAAATATATTTATAAAATATAAAAATTAAAATATAAATAAATATATATTATAAAATTCATAAAATATTATATATATATATATATAAATATATATATAAATCTATATATTTAATTTTTTATATACATATTTATTTATATATATTTTTTTTATTTATATATACAAATTAGAAACTTTAAAATATATTTATAGAAATATTTATAACTATAAAAAGATAATAATATGTTTTTTTTCTTTTTCAAAAATTATTATATTTTATTTACATATATCTATATTTATATTAATTCAAATATGAAATTATCTTTATACTCTAGAATAATTGTTATTATCAATTTGTCCAAAATATTCTTAATTGCTATTATACAAAATATTCGAAAAATTATAATTATTATTTTAAGATTTATTAATTCCTTTTTTTTCATTAAAATTTTTATTTTAATTATTTTTAAATATTTTTTTTTTATCAATTAAATAATTATTAATATTTTCTATTTTATCTTAAAAATTATTACAATTTTAAAAAGTGTGTTAACTTTAATTTTCAAATCTTTTGTTTTTATTAAAATCTTAAGTCAATATTCTTTATAATCGATTATAATTTTAATCCTTGTTTTCTTAATAATTTTCATTTTCTTATATTTTATTTTTTAATTGAAAATTTTTTTAAAAACTTTCAACATTAATACTACTTTCTTTTATACTAAAACTATTATAGTTTTTATTCCAAAATTATTTGCTTATATTTTAATCATCATTAAATGATGCTTATTCATAAATAGAAATACTTTTTTCCTTCTTTACATCACCTAAAATACTGGAAATCCAATAAATTAACTTTTTAAAAATTTAAGGATTCCTTTTGGCATTATGATTACCTTCTGCATATAAAAGCCATTTTTATCCATTATATCTTGCATGTAATTCCTCTATATGTAAAGATTTGACAAAAGTATCCTCTTTAGAACAAATAAAATAGCAAGGGATATATATATCATGTATAATTTTAGTTAAATCTAAAGAATTAAAATCAAGGTTAGACTTCTATTTAATTTAATTTTTGACAAATGAAAGGGCTGTATCAATTAAAAAAGAAGGAATTTTAGTCTTTTGTTTAGCAAGATCAAGTACTAGTTAATTTAAATTTGCAAATCCACTATCGAAAATTAAACATTTAATAAATTTCTTAAAAGAATTATTTTTTGACAAATAAATAAAGTTTGTAACTGCGCCCATACTTTATTTTAAAAATAATATAAATAAAAAATAAAAATAAAATACCTTCTTCCCCATAAAATTATATTTTATATTTTCTCGTTTTTTTTCAAATAATATATTATACATTCCAAATCTTCACTCTCGTTTATTCCCAATGTTACGTATTCGCCTTCTGATTAGCCACATCCTGTAAAATCAAACGAAAATAAAGCCAATCCTTATTCAATTAAATATGGAAGTAGATCTAATGATTCTATACGAGATCCTGTATTACAATGAGTGTATATTATACATGAATATTTTAGGTTTTGTTTTTCATTTATAGAGATCGGCTCATATAATGAAGCTTGGATTTTTAGTCCTTTCTTGTTTTTTATTTATATATCTGTTCTTTTACTTATGTAATTTCCTATTATTTAGGTTGGCATGCCTAAATCTTATATATTGTATTCTTATCGGGTAGGACGTATAAATATTTTCCATAAGGAATTAAATTATGTAAACATTAATTAAAATATTGTTTTTTTAATTTATTTTTTAATAAAATTTTATTAAAAATTTATTATTTATTTTTATAATTAAAATAATTTAAAATTAACACTTTTTCTTAGAGATGTTTATTAAGAAAAAAATAGCAGAATATACATAATAAAAAAAGCTTTATTTAAATTTAATTTTATTATTTAATAAAGTTAAAAATTATTATTAAATATATATATATATATATATATATATAATATATATATAAGGGTTATATAATTATGAGATTTAATTATAATCAATAAAATTCATAATTAAAACACTTGCCAATCTTACTCTTCCAACTTTATTCTTTATAAAACCTAAAAGTTTTTTATATTTTTTTTTTTATGATTATAATTTTTTCAAATAAATTATTATTAGTATACTAATAATTATTTTTGTTTATATTTTTTTATTTAAATAAAATAAATAAAAAAGAAGACATTAAAATTTCGAATTATGTCCTTTATTTTTTTTTTAAAAAAAAAATAAAAAATCGAATAAGGACAATTAATAAATTATTTAAATATATATATAATTTATGAGTAATTTTTTCAATACTTATAATATGTCATTTATAACAGAATTTTTTCCAAGACTCTTTTTAACCAGTTTTATATTTATTATTTGATAAATTCTTCAATTTATTTTTCATTTTAAATTCAAAAAAAAATTCATCTTTTTCTATTTTTTTTTATATTTTTATCATATTTTTAATATTTTAATTTTTTATTACTTTCGTCATTTAAATAATTCATTTAGATTTTCTGATAGTTAAAAGCTTTTAAGATTCTTAATGTAATTTTTCATACTGGTATAAATTCTCAAAAAAAATACATCAAAAGATAATCCTAGGCCCAGACTAGCTGTTTTTCATGGTCTATTAAACTGGAAAGTACAAAATAGAATTAAGATTCGGGAAAATCTTGATTATAAGATTAGCTTTTATTGCTAATGTTAATAAATCATCAACATTCTGCCAAATTAATTTTAAAAAATGTATTTAAAATTCCTTTTAGGCCCAAAATTGATTAAGATTTGAAATTTAACTGCCCAAAACAAACTAATGGAGGTTAAAAAGTCTTTTTTTTTGATATTAGCGTTAAAAAAAATATCTAAAGATTATTTCCTACCCTTTTAAAATTTAATTTGTACTTTAGGCTAAATATAAAATTCTATTAGCAAATCAGATTTTCCCCCATAAGAAGCAATATTTAATTACTTATGAAAAAATACTCATCTGATTCGAAAAATATTTGGCATTTAAATTGACTTTAAATTTTGATGATATATTTTGATTTTTTAGTATATAGTTTTGTTTAATAATAATGTGTTTGAAGGTGTTTTATATAAAATTTAATTTTAAATAAACCATATTATATATTCTACTTGAGTTATTTTTTTTTTTTTTTAAATAATAATAAAAGACAATCTGATATACCTATTAATAAAAAATTAACTTTTATATATCTTTTTGTTTTTATATAAGATTTTTTTATTTTTTTATATATAATTTTTTACAATTATTTTAATAAATTTATTTAAATATATTAATGATAAAGGATTAATCTTTCTTTATATTAGAAAATGAAAATAAAGATAATTTATTATTTGATGAATTGCTTTAAACCGATAGTAATTAGATAAATAGTTTTCAAACAAATACTTTAGATGAAGAAATCTAAATAAATTTTTAAAAAAGATAACGTTTAGAAAAAAAAAATAACATGTAATAACAAATTTAAACATAATAATAAAAAATAAATCCATAAGAACATATGGAATTAAATAAAGAAGAATAATTATAATATATAAATTCAAATGTATAAAAAATATAAAATATGACATAAATATAATAATTTAATGTTTTAGTAGAATAATTAAACGAAATATTCTAAAAAATAAATAAAAATGATTAAATGTTAAAAGTTTTGCCAGTTTCAATTTTATATGATTTGATATATAAATTAATATATAAATTTAAGATATTAAGTGTATTTTTATTTTTAATTTTGGCAGGAATAAATTTTATAGTTTTATTATTGCATATATATACTTGCTTTTTGATTTAAAAATATTTATATATTTAATAATCTAATATAAGGTAGTTAAAAGATATTTTAATTAAAATACAACAAGATAATAATGAATTTTTTAATTATTTCAAAGGAAATATTGATTTTTTGAACAATTAAAGTGAAGGACTCTTATTTTAACATTTTTCGATATTGAATTATATTAAAAAGTAAGATGATTAATCTAATTATAATAAATTAACTATTTAAAATAATGCATAGTAATAATATTGTTAAAATAATCTCAATTTTAAATAGATTAATATTACTTTTCAAAGATATTTAATATTTTATTTTATCCTTACTATTTTTAATACGTTTGCAATATATTTTATTATTATTAATATTTATTTAATTTATTTTTGAATATAAAAACAAAATAATTAAATATAGAATATATATTTTATATTAATAATAAAAAAAAAAAATTATTTTTTAATTAATAAAAATTGTATACATATAAATAAAATTAAAAATAATTATATATTTATTTAAAAATAGTTATATAAAAATATAACATAATTTATATATTTATAATTATTAATTTTTTTTAAAAATTAATTATCGAAAAAAATAAATTTTTTTTGATATATATCATATAAATATATATATATAAATATATATTAAGTTTTATTATTATAATTTTATTTATAATTTAATAAATTTTTACTTTAATTATAATGATTTATTTTCTAATTTATATAAATAAAAAATATATATATTTTTATATAAATTTAATCATATTATTTCTTTTTTTTACTTTGTTCATACACTACTGTTATAAATATTTACATATCCATCAGCACCACCTATTTTAAATTAAAATAATTAACAAATTTAAAAATATAAAAATTACATGAAGCAATATAATTATAATTTTAGTTAATAATGATACTATGGACTGCTTCATCATATTTATTTTAATGAGCCTAATTTTGAAAAAAAAAGTTTATAAAAATAAATGATAATAAATATAAAATAATAATATATACTTTTATTTCACTAACACATTTATATTATCTTAAATCCCAAGTTTTAATAAATCCATCATGTCCTGTAGAACTAACATAATTTTTATCTTAATGAAAAGCAAGGGAAGTAACAGCATCATTATGAGCTTAAATATGATTAATAGGCATTTCTGTAAAAAAAAAAATATATATAAATATATATATATAAAAAAAAAATATAAATACTTTAATTTATATCGAAAAATCTAATATATTTATCTTCATGAGCTGAAAGTAAAATTTTCATATTTGGATGGGCAATAAATCTAAATATTTAATCATCTTTAAAATCAGAATTATATCTAAGTACGTTTACACCTTTACCCTTTATTTATTTATTATATAATATATATATATATATATTTTTACAGTCTCTTTATCAAAAATAGTTATATTGTTAAAAGTTAAATATGAAACAGCTAATAAATTCAAATTTGTATAAATCCATGAAGCAGAAGTAGGTATTCCATATTTATTATCTTATTTATATACATATGTTTATCGACAATTTCCAACGTATTCTTTATTAAACTCCTCCATTATTTCCCATAATTTAACTGTTCCATCTGCACTTACTACTAAAATTTATTTCTTTTATTTTTTTTTATATTAAATTTTTCTATTTTTTACCTCAAAAGGATGTCCTAATATTTACCATATGGGCTCTTCGTTTGAACTCCAAGAACCTACACAATAATTTTTGTTTTCTGTAGGACCATATGTATCTACGTCTTCACTTTAAGGAATATCCCATACTTTTATTATACCCTTTTTATTTCATTGCTAATATTATATAAGCGTATATATATTTTACTTCAGATCCTGAGGTAAATACTATTTAACTTTATTTCTCAGAACATATTTCTTAGGATAATCCTGATATTGCATATAAATGTCCTGTATGCTCTTTTTATTTTATTTTTTTCTTAAAAAAAAAAAAATAGATTTAATTTAAATAATATACACCTCTTAGTGTATAAAAGGGTTCTAAATGAGTTTCTTCATTTGAACTCTAAAATTATCGAGTATCCCATAATTTAACCATACAATCTTCTGAAACTGTTACTAATGTATTATTTTTTGTGAAATAGCAATCTCTAACTCCATCAAAATGACTTCTCAATTAACTTTATAAATAATAAAATAAATATTAATTATTTTCAACTAATAAAAATAAAAAAATACCATCTATATAAAAGTATATTTGATTTACTTTTTTAATAATTCTTTTATTGTTAAAAATAGTTAAATAAAATAAAATAATAAATTTTATTTTATTATTTTTTAAAAAATATACTTCTATATTCTCGTCATATTTTTCTAAACTTTTGTTTATAATTTTCGAATTATTGATTTGCTATTTTTATGTATTGTTGTTTTTTTAAGTTTCATTATTTTTATTTTAATTCGTAATACTTTTGTTGAATTCTACAAAAGAATTGTCTAAATTGCTTCCATTATTATTATTATTATTAAAATTAGGTATGTCATTTTCTCTATTTTTTGTCGAAAATAAATTTAATATATATTTATTTATATATGAAGAAGAAAAAAAAAAACTTCAATAATGTATTTGAATTTTTATATTAAAATTCCAATTCTTATTAAAGTAATTCTAAATTATTTTTATTTGCATCATTTTCTTATTCAAAAATATCATCAATACCTATATCTTATAAAATTCTTTAAATAATTATAAATTATTAAATATTTTCTTTTCTTTTATATTATATATATTAACTTTAATAATAAAGGTCTATGTGATTTTGCTTTTCTTTAAGGTATTTAAGGAATATTAAGGTTATTTTATATCAACTACATATTATTTTCATCTTACATAGCAGACTTTATAATATCTTAGGGTATATTTTATCCTTATAAAAGTTTTGAATATCGAATACGTTCTTATCTTAATGCAAATTCTAGCATTTTAATTCTTTTTAATAAATCTTTATTAATATTTTCTTATGCTTTTAATTCACCTTCTAATTGACTTATTTTTTCTAAATTTTATTGCTTCTCCAATGTTTATTCAGTTTCTTTATAGTTCATTTCCTTATATTAATCTTGTAAAAACTTCAGGACTCCTAACCAATTATAAGAAGTGGTTTATGGAACATTTATTTATTATGAATCTTCAAAACTTTATGACATACTTAATTTTTATTCGGAAAATAATAATTTTTTTTTTTTAAAAAAAAAAAAAAAATAGAAATTTAAATTTTATATTAATTTTTTATTTTAAAAAAAAAAAAATTAAAAAACAAAATTTTTTTTTTTTTTCAAAAAAATTAAATAAAAATATATTAATTAATTAATACATTTAATAAAAAAATAAATATATCATTTAGTTTTAAAAGCAGAAATACCAGTCAACTCTCTTCCGGCAACCAAAGCATTAATATCATATGTTCCTTCATAAGTATACAAAGCTTCAGTATCAACTAAAGCTTTCATCACATAATTATCAAAAATAATCCCATTTCCACCAAAAATTTCTCTCCCTAATCTGGTTATTTCCCTCGTTCTTTCTGTCGCAAAGGCTTTTCCTAAAGCAACTTGTCCTATAGTGATATTTCCTTAATCGTATAATACTGATAGTCTCCAACATAGGAATAATATGGCCTGTACATTGCTCATTATTCTTTGTATTTTCTCCTATTAGATTTAAAAGGAGGAAATCTTCACACCGAATTGTTTCCTTTCGTTCATGTATTTTATTGTGTGGTCGTAGACTCCCATTGCGACTCCGAAGGTAATCCAACAAACTATTAATCTGGAATGAAGGAGAATTTTAGATGTTCCTTTTTGGAAATCAGTGGCTTTAGGGAGGAAATTTTCCTCTGGAATATGCACATTATTGAACTATATTTAGCAGTTCTAGACCATTCTGAGTGCTAGTTTGTTCTTTATGACGACTGAATTGACACCAGGACTCTTTAAATCCACTATGAAACCTTAGACCTTATTATTTTCAACGTTTCGGGCCCATACAATCATTATATCCTTATTTCCATTTCCAATCCATCTTTTATTGCCGTTTAATATCCAGCCTTTTCCGCTTGGGTCTCTTTTTACGCTTGTTTAAAGGGAAGAGGCGTCAGAACCGACTTTTTCTTCAGTTAAACCCCATCCTCCTACCAGTTCTAGGTCTCTTAATTTTGGAAGGTATTTGTTTTTTTATTCCTCACTACCTAAAATTTCGATTGTGGACATCAGTAAAGAACTCTAAACCGCTGAAAACGTTGCCAAACTAGCATCTACTCTTGAAATTTCGGCAAATAAAATTCCCTAAGATAAAATACTGGAAGATAGTCCATATGGGGCATTTAATAAATGATTAAATAGACCAAATTGGCGAAATTTTGGAAGAACGAAGTCGGGAAATTGGGCTTTTTCAATATATTCGTTTATATAGGGAGCTATTTCTTTATGAAGAAATTCACGAAAGGCCTTTCTTGTTGTATTTTATTCAGATGTTAATAATGAAGGGAAGTCAAAATAGTCTATTGATGATTCGACGATAGGAAATTATGTTATTTGATTTTTGTAATTATTTAATCTATCAGACATTTTTTTTTTTTCCGCTTTTTTATTTTAATTTTTTTTATCTTTATATTTTAATTATATGTTATTAATATGCTTTGTTTTGTTTTTAATTGATATAATTTTTTGTAAATATGAAATAAATTTGGTTGATTTATTTGTTTCTTAAATGAAAATAATAGTTTTTTATATTTGTTTTTTTTTAGAAAATAAATTAGTGATTGATAAACACACTTTAAGTGTATATAATAATATTAAAAATTTTGTTATAATAATAATAATTAAAAAATATGTATATATAAATATTAAAAATATTAAATTTAAAAATTATTTAAATATGTTGCATTTATTTATAATAATAAGATTATAATTTTTTTTTTATTCCTTTTTTCTAAACATATTTGTTTTAATTTTATTTTTTTATAAATATATTAATATCTTTTTCTTTTTATAATTATTATAAGATATTTAAATTATTTGTTTCTAAAGTTAATTATTATAAGATATCTAAATTATTTTTTTCTAAAGTAAGAAAAATTATTAAAACTTAAAAACTATATTTAAATTAAGTAATTTTATTACTTAATTTTAAAGAATAAATTACTATAGTTAAATTATTTAGAATAAAAATACATTATTATTATTTTTAAGTTATTTTAAACAAATTAAATTAGTACTATAAGTAAAATAAATATATAAAATTATTATATACTTTAATATTTTATATTACAAAAATAATTTATTAAATTCCTATTTAATATATAACCTAAATTAAAAATTATAAATACATATAATTATTTTCTTTATATTTAATATATAATTAATAATTTAAAATGTTTTATATTTTAATTTATATAATTATTTTTAGAAAACAATTTATATATATCATTTTATCATGTTTTATTTTAAAAATCTATTAAGAATAAAAAAATACTATAATTTTTTTTTTTAAATATCTAATAAAATTAATAAATAATAAATAAATTTTTTATAATAATATTTTATAATAAAAAAAAAAAAATTTTTATTTTTTATATAAAAAGTGATATATATATATATATATATAATAAAAAAAAATTGTAAATTATATACTTATTAAATTACATTAATTATCTTTAAATAATTTGAAAATTAATAAAATACCAATATTAATTATACTGAAAACTATTTTTTACTTATACTTAATTGACTAAAAGTATTATTTGAAATCCTAGTCTTACTAGTGCAATAGCTTCATATGTTGCAAATGCAGTTTAGATGGAATCAATACAGTTATATTAATTAGGGAGACTTCTTACGTATTTATCCCGTTAATATAGTTTATATTATGCCTAATATATCTAAATAAGAAATAAGCAAAAAATCGTTATAATAATTTAGGTACTTTTTAGGCTAGAACTATTTTTTTATTATATATTTTTAAAAAAATAAAAATTTTATAATAAAATTTATGCATCTGAATCTGTAGTAATTATAGATATTTAAATTTATGCAAATACATGATATGACTTGGTATATTTTTAGATATAGACCTAAATATTAGATATTGTGAAATTGTTTTATGGTATTAATAAACTTACTTAGTACGCTATCTCATTATAATTAAATTGGAGAATAGGGAGGAGGGGATCTATTATTAAAAAAAGTTTCGAAGAAAAACAATATCTATATGAATTATGTTAGTTTTGTAATATTACTTTAATTTATATATTTAATAGATTTCTTTTTTTTTTTTTTTTAATAAAATTAATTTTATATATTCTAAAATATTATTTTATTTATTAAAAATTAAGTTATATTTATTATTTAATTTCATTTATATATAAAAATAATTTTAATTAATAAAAAAATAAGATATTTTGTTTTGGACAAAAAGAAATGAACAATAATAAATAAATGTAAGAAAACAACCTTATATTTTAAAAAATTGCTCAATTAAAAATGTAATTTAAAGAATTACCTTCTTTAGTTTAATAAATAGAGGCTTAAAAAAGACATGAAAATAAAGAAAAATGCTTTAAATAAAACACCAAAAATGCTAAATTATATGCTTAATGTGTTTTAAATTTAAATTAGAATTATTTTTCATATGGAAGTTCAAATGAAATATAGAATTAACAAAATATTTTTAGAGTTAACTTTTTTTAAAATTTAATGGAATAATGTTTTTAAAATTAAAATGTTAAAGTTTTAAATGAATGTTCTTAAAGATTAAATTAAATTTATTTAAAAATTATTGAATCTGTTTAATGATTTTTTTGTTTGTTTTTTTTTTTTAAAAAAAAATATATTATTTCTAGTTAGTTATTCTAAATTATATTTATTTATTTATTTTTTAAACAAAAAATTAGAAATATTTATTTATTTTCGTTGTATATTTTTGGAATTACTACTTATAAATATTTATATGTTTCTTGCTTTTCATTTTTAAAATATAACTTATTTGTATTTTTTTACTTATATTTATTTTTTATTGAATTAAATTGTAATACTTTAGTTTAAATTATAAAAATTCAACTTTATGTAGAAATTACTAATAAATTATTTCTTTTTTTTTAAAGTATAGAGTATTTTTATATAATAAATACAAATTATAAATATATAATTAATATTTGATTTCTTAAATTAAAAAAAAATAAAAGTTATTATTTGTATGTATATTTAAATAAAAAATAAAAGTAAATCATTAAAAAAAAAAAAAAAACTTATTAAAATAAAATAAAAAGAGGAAATATATAAAATCTAAATAATATTTTTTTTGTTATATAAAAATATTTAAATATAATAAAATTTTATTATATTGTTTTACATTTAAGAAAATTTATCAAGCTCAAAATTTAATAAATCATATAAAAAAAACAAGAAAATAATACTAATAATTTCTTACTAAATAAAAATTCTATAATAATAACCCGCTTAAAAAAATAAATAAAAAAATTAAAATAAAATAAAAATTTATAAAAATAATAATAATATCAATTAAAAATATAAATAATAATTTATTATTTTAACAAATACAAAATGTCAAATAAAGAAGCCATATTTTTAGTTCTTGACATGGGATATTCAATGTTTAAAGAACTCTCTACAAGAAAAAATTAAACTGAATCATAAAAAAGATCTTAAATAGCAATTTAATGCATAAAACTTCTATTACAATAAAAAATGTTCAATTTTAAATAACATGAAGTCGGTTTAATTCTTTTTGGTTTAGATTAAAGTTTATAATAAGGAAATACCATGTATATAAGATAAATGGGAAAACCCGATATGGATTTTTTAAAAAACGTAATGGAACTAGAAAGTTATTCAGAAAATAAATCTGAAGGTGGAGATATATTTGATGCCTTGGAACAATCATTAATTACAATCGACGAATATGTAAAGAAGAAAAAATATGAGAAAAAAATATATGTTTTTACTGCTGGATGTGGAAAAACAGATTACAATAGTTAATAATTAGAAGACTTAGTTAGTAAAATTTAATAAGTAAATACACACACACATATATATATATAACATACATAAATATACATGTATTTAAAATTAAAAAAGGTAAATGCAAAAATTAATATTATAGCATTTGATTTTTTGAAAAAATATAACCCAGAAAATGAGGATTTAGACTTAGAATTGACAAAACTAAATGAAGATGACGATACATAAACTAAAGTACAAAATTTAAACCAAAAATTGCTTTTAGCAATTAAAAGAGAAATACCTTCTCAAGTATAGTTTTACCCATCTTCTATTGCCCTTTTAATTTAGAAATAATTCCGTTCGAAAGGTTATGCTCCTAGAGTTAAATATAGAGGCACCTTCGAAATTTCAAACTTTTTAAAATTCGATATTTAGATGTATACGAAAACTTCAGAAGATAAACTTCCTGGTTTGAAGTAATATTCATAGACTGTAGAATTTGATAAAAATGAAAAATCAGGCCTGATAGAAAAAGAAGTTCTTAGGTATGTATAAGAAGACCCTAATATGTAGCCTGTAGATAAGGAAAATGTAGGAAAGGCTTATCATTATGGGAAATAATTAGTACCTTTGTCGAATATTATGGAATAGGAAATGTAACTTTAAACAGAAAAAGAAATAAAGCTTTTAGGTTTTGTGGAAAGCAAACAAATACCCAGACAGGCTTTCATGTCTAGTGTCGATTTGATAAAATGCTTAGAATAAAATGAGAAGTCAAAAAAAGGGTTAGCCGCATTAATTAAGGCGATGAAAATATAAGGAAAATATGCGTTAATAAGATATGTTTAAAGAAAAAATGGAAATCCGAAACTTTGTGTACTTATTCCTTAAGTAGGGGAAAATTATGAATGTTTTTTTATGGTAGAATTACCAACAGGGGAAAGCGTGAGGGATTTTCAGTTTAATTCTTTGAAAGAAAGTACTGTTGAACAATAAGAGGTGGTTTCTGAGTTGATTGAGAAGATGGATTTGTGTAAAAATGATTAAGAAGAGATCTTAGATATAAGAAATATATATAATCCAACTAAATAGTATTTCTATTAGTGTGTTTTTCATAGAGTTTTTGATCCAGAAGGGGAGTTGCCGGTTATGGATGAGAATATAAAGGAATATATGAGTCCAGAAGTGGAATTAGAGGAGGATATTTTAAAGAAAATTAAGGATAGTTTTAAACTAGAGATCTTGAAAAAAAAGAAAGAAGGGGAATAATTTCAGGAAGATGAAAATGGGAAGAAAGTTTTCTGGAAAGACCTTTTAGAAGGAGAAAAAAACTAAAAAATAGAAGATATTTAAGAAAATATTTAAGAAAATGAAGAAATTTTGGTTTAGAAAAAGTTCACATTTGATGATGGAAATGATTATGTGAAAAAAATATCGACAGTAAATCCTATTGATGACTTTAAATAAATGATTACGAATAAAAAAGTGGATTTAGTAAAGTCAGCGATTGAATAAATGAGTGAAATTATATTCTCATTTATTTAAAACAGTATTAAGGGAAGTTATTATGAAAAATCTTTTGAGTGTATTAAAGTCTTTAGATAAGGGTGCATTTAGGAAGATGAAGCAGGAGCTTTTAATTAGTTTTTGGTTGATTTGAAAAAAAAAGTAGTCTATTCTTAATAATAATAATTCTGGAAAATGATTATTCATTAGGGAATTACACTTATTTCGTAAAATGAAAATAGAACATCTTAAGTTAGTAGCAAAGAGGCTAGTTAAGTAATTTTTTTTTTTTTTTTTTTGGTTTATATTATATTTTAGTTCCTTTAAGAAGAATTTGATTAAGTTCTTAATATTGAAGATTTCAAATAAGTTAAATAAGAAGATGATATTATGGATGAACTAGATTGAATTTAATTAAAAACATTACATATATAAATACAAATATCAATTTTTTATTAAATATAATATTTTTTTTTATATTGTATTAAATATACTAATTATATTATTTATTAATGATAGAACCTCAAAAAAATTGCTTTTTTAAATTAATAATTTATGTATTTATGAAATAAATATAATTTAAAATACATTTATTATAATTAAAAATTATAAATAAGTGAATATAGATAACTTATTATAAAAATTAAAGATATTCATATTTGTAAATAAAAAAAATTATGTAGATTCTTTTTAAAATAAATAAACAAATATTTTACAGATATTCAATAAGTTATGATATATATCAAAAACATATATAAAAAATTTTAATTAATAATATATATAAGATAATTAAATATAATTTTAATTGTAAAAAGAAAATATTTTAAAAATATTAACATTTAATAATAAGATTTAAATTAAAAATATTTTAATTAATTAATTCATTTAAAAAACGAATATATATATCTATAAATAATAAAAATAAAATATAATAATAAAATATTTATAAATAATAAGTATAAAATTTCTTTATATATATATAGTTAAATATTTTATATTAAAAATATTAATTATTATAAATAGTAATGTTAATATATATAAATATATATAAATAATAAGAATATAATGAAAATAAAAGAATTAATAAATTTAATATATAAATTAAAAGATATAAAAAAATTAGATTAAAATATTAATATAAAAAAAAATATAATAGAAATAATTTAATATTATAAAAAGTAAAAAAAAAAATATCAATATAACAAAAATTAAAAAACAAAATATATATATATATAAATATATATATATAATATATATATTTATATATTTATATATTTATATATTTATATTTTATATCTTTATTTATATTTATTACAATTTATTTATTTTTTATGTAAAAATATATAAAATATATTTTTATAATTTTAGTTTAACTACTTATTTTTATAAAATATTAATATATATAAATAATGTCATAACATAGAATATTTATATATTTTAAAATAAAAAAATTTTAAGAAAAAATTATAATACTTTTTTTTGTTAAATATTATTTTAAAATATGTATTATTTAATAATTTAATAAAAGAAATATATAAAATATGCAAAAAATAAATTAATTAAATTAATTATTTTAATTATTTTACAATAGTTCTTATATTATTAATTTTACTTTATTTATTATTATTCAAAAACTCCATTTTTAAATATAATTTTTTTGTTAATAATAGTCTCAGAGACCATACATTTGGCAAATCAATTAAAATCCATTTTAAATTATTTATTATTTTAATTACTTTACATGAAATTCCAGATTAAATCTAGAATATTCTATAAATTATAATATTTTTCTACAAAAGGCTAACATAAGTATATAGTAAATATTTTTAATAATTTTTGTGAAACAAATATATTAAATAATTCCATTATATTTTTGAATAACTAGAAATAATTTTTATTATACAAAAAATTTAAAGATTAAAAATATGTCCATAAATAAGTTTTCAATTAATTTTGTGGATAAAAATTAACTTAATTGGTAAAAATATTCTATTTTTTCTAATATTGCATATTTTTATGGGATTTTTAATCCAATATAATAATTATGTATAAATCTTATTATATGAAACAGTGAATATTTAAATTAAAATATGTTTAACATTAATATAATATAAAATATTTTTTTATAAATATATATATAATTTAGTATTATTAAAGCTGTCATTGAAACTTAAATAATACATACTATTATTAATATTAAGTATATGTCTATAATTTTTTTTTTTTTAATTATAATTATGTTTATAATATTAGATATTTTATAAAAAAATATTTTTTTATTTGTATTATATATATTTAATATTTTTTAAATATTCTAGATTTTTCTCTAAAATATGTATAAATAAATAAATTACATATAAACAAATATATATATATATATATATTTATAAAATATTTTTTTAAAATAAATTAAATTTATATTATTAATATATAGTTTATTTTATTTTTAAAAATATTATATATATGTATTTTTAATTATTATTATTCTTTAATTTAAATATATTTTTCTCAATATATATAATTTCGTTATAAAAACTAATTTTTTAAAGTATTTATATTTTATTAATGATAATTATTTGTATTTTTTGAATTTTATTTTATGAAATTATTATATTAGAAATATTATTATTATTAATTATTATATCTTTTATTTTTATTAACACTTACTGATATTTTTATATTTTAATTTTTTTTTTGACTATTTTTTCTAGAATTTGTTTAGTTAAAAGATTAATTTAAACTGCTTTATTTGATTATTGAATTATTAAAAATTTAATTTAATTTATTGCTTTTATTATTATTATTTTTGTTTAAGTATATATAATAAATATTATTATAAGCATTATCCACTGGATCAGTTGATTTTCCCCTCAAATTGGTTGATTTTTTAGTTTTATTATTAATTTTAAGTCTTTTTTTATATATTTAAATATATAATAAATAAAAAAAATCACATTTAAGGCGAAACATTGTTTGAATAACCTGACTACTTTTTTTTTGGAACTTTATTTTATTCTTAATATATTTTATTTTCTACTAATAAGGTATTCTATTTTTTGCTATTATTTTTTGTTTAAGAGTATTTTTTTTATACAAAAGAATTATTTAAGGAAGAATTGTTTACTAAAGAATAATCATAAATGATGTTTTTGGTGAAGTTTATATTATTTTTATATTTTTCTAATAAACTGTATTCTTATTTATTACTTAAAGGTTATGTATTTTCTAAATTAAAATTAACTGTATTTGTTTAAATGGAATTTCTCTTACTATTTTTATAATTGATAAATTTTGTATTATTATTATTATTTGATTTTTCGCCTATAATAGAATTATTATTCGATTTATCTTTTTTTTTTTAATAATTATTAATTTATAAAAAAAAAATTACAATTTAAAGATTAATTTAATTATTAAGAATTTAATAAAAATTATTAATTATTTTTTTAAACTGAATTCATGACAGAGTTCCGAAAACTACTTTTATTTTCTTTATTTTCATAATTCGATACACCTTTTTTTTTGGAGTCCTCGAAGGTCTTTTATTTGGTAAAATAATATTTGGATCAAATTCATCTGATGTGATATCTGCAATCGATTTCCCACCATTTTGTATATGTTTTTTTAATAATAAATAGTAACTTGTAGTTATATGGTTATGTTTATTAGCATCTATACATTTTTAGGCATAATCTAGATTAAAATTAAACTTTTCAAGTTACTAGATAATTTATGGATCTATAGGTATTTTATTATATCCAATTATAATTCCTTCAGAGATTTTATTATATTTATAATTTGAGCACCATGGATGATCTCTTATATTTTATACATTATAACGTTTTTCAGGATCAGTATTAAGGATTTTTTTTAATAAATCTCGTGCTTCATTTGATACAAACTTTGGAATATTGAAATTTCCTGCTAAAATTTTCTTATATAATTCAGAAGTATTAGGATCCTAATAAAAAAAAAAAAAATTGTATAAATATATATATATATATTTATATATAAATATATATATATATATATAAAATTATATTTAATAATATATATATATATATATTTTTTTTATATGAAGAATGATTTAAATTTACTTCAAAAGGTAAATATCCACAAATTAATGCATATAAAATAACTCCACAACTCCATATATCAACTCCTAGTCCATTATATTTTTTCCCTGAAATCATCTATATTATATATATTTGTGTTAGTTTTTTATTTTAAAAAAAAATTAATATAATTTAAAATACTTCAGGTGCTGCATAACAAGGTGATCCGCAAGCTGTTTTTAAAAGCTCGTTTTTCTTATATGTATTTGAGAGTCCGAAATCTACTATTTTTATTGATTTATCGTGATATAAGAGTAGATTTTCTGGCTTTAAATCTCTATGCACTATATTTAATTTATGTATATATTCTATTCCAGATATTATTTATTGAAATATTTTGGATGCTTCAGGTTCTTTTATTCTTGTGTTTTATACTATGTAATCAAATAATTCACCTCCTGAAGCATATTCCATCACTAAAAATAATTGCTTTGGAGTTTCTATTATTTCATATAGTTATATTATATTTGAATGTCTTAGTAATTAGAGTATATGCATTTCTCGGGATACTCTTTCTACATCAGATACGTCTATTATCCGGTCTTTTTGTAATATTTTTATTGCTACTTTTTCGTTTGTTAAAATTTGGGTGGCTAATTTTACTTTTCCAAAAGTTCCTTCTCCTAATGTTTTTTCTTTTTTATTTATTTTTTGATTTAATCTATATTTTATTACCTAATATATAATGGCCTATTTATTTTGTATTTTTTATTTAATCTTTTTAATTTTAATTATTATTGTTTTATATATTATCCATTTATATATGTTTGTATTTGTATTTTTTTTTTTTTTTCTCGTTAATTTTTTTTTTTTTTTTAATATTAAAAAATTCAAATAAGATTATTAAAAAAAAATTAGTTGTTAATTTATACAAATAAAATATATATAAATAAGAAAAATTATATATATATGTTTATATATAAATTTTTTAATAATAAATAATAAGAAAAATTCAATTACAAATTTTGTCATATCTTTACATAATACTTTATTTAATAATAATTCCTTTAAATATTTTCCTCCAAAATCCCAAAAGTTCTTTTTTTAGATTTACCTTCGCCAAATATTTCATTTCTTCTAAATTTTATTAATATAACTACAAAATTTATTCTTCATCTTTTTTAAGTGCAAGTACCCCAAATTTTATAGGATGTGAAAATCCATTTGAATGTTCGAATCCTGTCACAGCTTCTACAAATTAAATATTATATTTTTTCAAAATTTTCGGTAAATTCTACAATTTAATATGTACTGTCCCTTCAGGAGGTTCTCCACAAAAGCTCTATAAATACATAAATATAAAGTATATATATATATATATGTACCTCCCAATTATTAAATTCGTTAAATGGTAAAGTACCATCTTCATTTAATTTATAAGTAAAGGTTTCTGTTTACCATTCTCCATATACGTCAACCATTTTTTTATTACTTAATTTAATTTCTATTTATTTTATTGGCTATTCTCCTACTTTTACCTATCTAAGTTTTCTTCTCCACATTAATTTTGAACCTAAAGCTTAAATATCGGATTTATAAAAGACCTTTTTATAAAATATATATTTTATTTTTATTTATTTTTATATACTTATTCATCTTTATACATTAAATCAGGAATTGGTTATGCTTAAGGAGGTAAGTATTAATATTTATTTAATTAAGTTTTTAAAACAAAAATATCACTACATTTGAATTCTTGATATTCTTTTGGAATTTAATTCATTTGAATTTTTTTATCCTCCTCTTTTTTGCATAAATAAGATTTTTACTTTTATTTTATAAATAAAATTTATATGAATATAATAATATTTTTTCAATACATATTTATCATCTAATAAATCTTCACTTCCAAGAAAAGAAAGCTAAGATAAAGTCTATTTCCACCAATTTGTTAACATTAATTATCTTCTAGCTAATTGAACTCTTGGAAATCTTTCACAATTAGCACAAGTATCATCAAAAAGAAAAAAACCATCAGAATTGAATTTATTTTTTAAATAATTATTCAAAAAGAAGTTCTTAAATTTCAATTTTTAAATTGAATAGATAAAGAAAATAGGCATTTTGTCTTATTTTGCTAATATTTAATTTCTATTTAAAATTTCATCTTAAACAGGATCAAATAAGATCCAAGAATTAGATTTTTCATCGTAAATTTCAAGCCAATATTTAATTTCTTTTTAATCTTTAAAATCGTTTATTTTTGAAAAAAGATTAGTTTTTTATATTTTTTATTCTTCTTCGAAATAATTACTTTTGAAATTAAAATTATTAATATTTGAAAAATTGAAAGTTTTATCATCTTTTTTTTATGTAGTTATTTCAGTATTTTTTTCTGTTTTTTTTTCAGTATTTTTTTCTGTAGTTTTTTAATTATTTATTAATGGCGATTTTTTAGGAATTTTTTAGAATTTAAATTATTCTAAAAGATCGTCGAATTCTTATCTTAATTTTGACATTTCTGTATTGTCTTAATGTTTATCGACTTGTTATTCTACTTCTGTAATTTATTATTTACTTCTATCTTCCTTTTTTAACATATGATCTAATATACTACTGCCAAAGAATGGATTTTTTTTTGTTCTTTTATTTTCATTATTTTGATAAGAATTAGAATTTTCTGTAGATTTTCTTTTATTATTTTATTTAGTTTCTTGATAAAAAGAGAAGTTATGTTTTTTATTAATATTAAAATAATGCTAGAAATCTATAATTTTGACAAATCTTATATTTTTTTATCCTAGAAAATACTTAAGAAAAATATAGGAAATCAAGAAGATTTAAAAATAACTAAATTCATTTTTTTATATATTTTCTTCAAAATTAAAAAGTTCTCGATTTTCTTTATAAATGAAATATTTTTAAATGTAAAAATTTGAAGTTTTTATTATTTTTTCGGTATTTATTTCCTTGTTTTTTAATTTTTAGATTAAAAAAATATCCTCTAAGCTTATTTTAGATAAAATTTTTGCCTGAAAAATCTTGTTTTAAACAAAATTTTTAAAAGATGAAAATTATTGAGAAATTATACATAAAATATACGAGCGGATAAAATTCATATATTCTTATGGATTTTAGCGTATTTTTCTTGTTTTTTTAAGTATTTCTTGCTTATTTTTCTCTATATTATCTTGTTGGGCTTTTTTACGCTCGATTATGTAATTTAACACGTTTTGTTCTTTTTATAATATAACCTTTTCTTCTTTTGTTTGCTTTTTATTATTGTTTTTTTCCTCTATAAGATTATTTATAGTCTCGTTTTGGGTTGATATTGCATTTATTAATATTTCACGGTTTATTTGATTATATTCGTTATTTATTTAGTCAAGAAAGTTTATGTTCTAAAATGAATCTTCGTATATATTTGATTAAGAATCATCAGATTAAAATATTTAATGTTTTTCGAAATTTTATTCTTGTTCACTTTTTGAAAAATCGAGTTCTTAAGAACTCATTATAATATATATTTTTTTATTTATTTATTATTATTTTTTTTTAATATATAAAATAATTAAGAAAATAAAAGAATTTTCTAAATTTTTATATTTATGTTCAATAAAAATATTATTAAAAAGGATTATTTGTAAAGACAAACTTTGATTAAGGTTGAAATCTATTTTTTAAAATATAAATATAATTTTCTATTTCTTAGTTTAATTCTGGATAAGCTTATTTAATAACTATAAATAATTTTTCACTTAATAGAGTTATAGTTTAATCGATTTCATTTTAAATTATATATGTAAGACTTTAAAGTAAAAATTAGGAAATTTTTTAAGCACTTTTATTTAATATAAATTATTTGTATAATATATTATATAATAATAATAATATATATGATATTTTTAAAAAATAACTATAGTTTACTATTTATATAAAAATTATAATAATATAAATATTAAAATTACTTTTTAGATTTATATTTGCAAGCTAAATATGTAATAATTTAAATGTTAAAATATTAATTATTTTTATCTGATAATAATATTTGTGATTTTTCTAAAGCAAATTAAAACCAATGAATATTTTCGACTACTTTTTTAATAAACTTATGTTTAAATCCCTTTTTTTAATTAAATTTATTAAATACTATAAAAATATTTACAAGAATATTAAAATTACATTAGAAATTATATAATCAATAATATTATTATCTTATAAACCTAAATAATTAATAAAGTTACATATTTAAATATCACATTTAGTTGATTATTCATATTTTTCATTTATACATTCAATAAGGAAATAAATAATTTATAAATTCTTTTTTTTTTTTTTATAAAAAATATATAATAAAAAAAAACTTATATTTTTACTAAATTGAAAATATAATCTTCTTATTTTTCTTAATTTTTTTAAGGCTAATTATTTATAATAGAAATCCAATTTTTGTTTAAAATATCAATACAAATTAGAATTTATTAAATACTTTTTTCATCTTAAAAAAACTTCTTTTAAATAAACAAAATACTCAAAATATCATTGCAATTATTTTAATTTAGAATATTTTTAATTAATACACTTTCCTAAATAAAATAATTAATTGTTTAACATGCTATATATGTATAGTTTTAAGCAAAAAACTTCATCCATAAATCTTTATTATATATAAACTATTTAATATCAAGTTTTTTATAATCAATTATTTATTATGGAATGCTTTTTTATTTAAGTTAAAATATTATGTTTGGTTAGAAATAAACAGGAGCATATTTATTTAAAAGACATAATAAATTCTAATAAAAATTCTTAAATTTATTCCTATTTTTAATTATATATTTAATCAAAAAAGTTAATGGTATTTTATGTAAAAAAGCGACATTAGGTTATATTTCTTATTTTTTTAAATTTAAATATAAAAAAAGAATTGCTTAAGAATATTTTTTTTCGGAAATTTTATTTGTTAAAATTTCATTTATTTATTAATATGAGAAATCATCTTTTTTTATTAATTAATTTTATACAGGATTCTGTATATTTTCGAAATTCTAAAAATACTCCAAATTTTATAAATTTAATTAATCATTTAAAATTATTAATATGGAAATTAAATTTTATTGTTTTTCTTCTTTTATATTATTTATTTTTTATAAACTTTATTCTTTTAATATTTGTATATTTATATATTCTTTTATGTTTTCGGGATTTTAGATTTACTTTAAAATTTATATTTTATATCTATCACATTCTAACTCACATATTTATAGATTTTGTTAATAAAAAGATATTAATAAAACTAGATTTTCAGTATCAGAAATAGAATATTCTAATTATTTTTTTAAATTGGTTTCGCTTATTATTTTTTCAGAAGGGGAAAAACTTTAGACTATAATTAAAAAAATAAATAAAAAAGGCGTAGTTAAATTTAAAAAAGAATCTATTTTTAAAAATTGTAAAATTTATTAAGGATCACATATTATAATTTATGCTAAAATTAATAATATTTGGTCTTGCTTTTTATGTTTTATAGTTTCAAATAATTCTTGAGTTAAAAATTAAAATATTTGAATATTTAATTGAGTGTTTTAATAAGTATAATTCTTTTAATAAATAAAATTTTGTAATTATGAGTTAATTTTGTTAAAATATTCGCTCAAAATTATATCTATTTTTTTATCTCCTTTATAAAATTTAG